TTCCCCTCATCACACACACACACATAGAAATAAGTGTCAGTGTCTTTCCCCTCATCACACACACACACATAGAAATAAGTGTCAGTGTCTTTCCCCACACTTATTTCTAGTGTGTGTGTGTGTGATGAGTGTGATGAGGAAAAAGACACTGACACACACACACGTAGAAATAAGTGTCAGTGTCTTTTTCCTCATCACACACACATAGAAATAAGTTTCAGTGTCTTTCCCCTCGTCACACACACACACACACACATAGATCAGTTTCCTCAGCAGGTGAGATCTTATAGTTTTTGTGGGTGTTCTAAAATGTTCATGCAAGTTTTACAGAATAATCATAAAATGCTGTCACCTTCTTCGTGTATCAGGGCTTTAAATTAGCATACTGTAGCTTTTATCCAGATCAAATTTTTAATAGTATGTCTTATTGAATAGCATGTCCAGGCCTTAGCTCAGTGTATATATATTTCAAAACTAAATGTTTAACTACATGAGAATGTAACTGACATTATTTAATTACGTATATTAATTTTATTAGATAATTGACAAAAACATCATACTTAAAACAAAACAAAAAAGGACCTAAAATGAATGGTGTTATTAAACACACAAGCAATTCAAAAAAAAATTAAAATTAACTTTTAAAATTAAGTAACTTTGGATGATATTTTAGAAAACTTTTTTATTTTGGCTGTTTATAGAGAAGTTTTGCTACAGATTCATGTTGCTATTAATATATTTACTAGAAAACAATGATATGTTTATTAGTTTTTTGTTGTTGCTCCATATTGTTTGAAATTTAATGTAATTTTTACATAATAAATCTGATAAATCACACTAGTAATAGCTATAGGAAACAGAAGATCCACACTTATCGTATACTCTAACTGCAAGTAAATTCAAATTTGTTTGTTGTGGCACTAAGCTACACAATGGATAATCTTTGCCCACCAAGGAAACACAAACCTCAGATTTTAATGTTGTTAGTCCGTAAACTTACTGCTGATGCACTGGGTGTTTAAATTAAAATAACCTTTCTCACAGTCTCACTACTTTCATATGCAAAAGGAAAGGATGGAAATTTTTCAGTGTTCTATTAATGTTTTCTTTTCTTTATTCAAATTATGTTATGAGGTAATTAACCATTCTAAAATGTAATTTAACAACCATCTCTTAATTACAACTACAATTGTTAATACCACAATGTTGAATCCAGTTAATGCGCATGCTTGCGGGATTTTCATACTACATGTGTGCATCGCATTGCCAACTCATTGTGTAGTGTGTGTGACCTTCTAGAATTCTCGTGTTCTTATCACTAAAGTGTAGTGATAAACTACTCCATGAATATCACCTTTTATGTAGTTGCCACTGTACATCTTCTTCAAACACTGCACAAATATAAATTCACTGTGGTGAGTAAAAAAACAACTAAAACAAAATATATACTTTTGTAGTCTAGCGTATCTTTTTAAGTGTGAATTACTTTTATACCATTTTATGCTGATCTTTGGTTTTAATTAATGCAATGTATGATTATTATAGTTTTTCTTGGTATTATTATCAGGTTCAACATGTTTTTGAACTTGAATGTTTTGTCATTCAAAAGTCATAAAAATACTTAAAAAAATATTTAAACACATTATTTCTGAATGAAATCAGTGATTTGGAAAGTAATTTAGGGTAATACAAAGTTAGGAATGTTATTTTTTCTATTATGTTTTTAGTCAATAAAATTAAAATCATTCAAGTTAAAAATCTATTCCCATTCGACATATCTGAAAGTTTTGAATTATTTATTTTTGTTATATTTTTAGAATTATAACAAATTGTCAATTTTAATTTAGAAATTGATTTTTATTGTGCTCTTAAGACTTTTATCTCTAATAGTTTAAGTGGCATAAAAAAAAGAAAAAACTTGTAATAAAGTTTTTTCTTTATCTGATTACCTTCTGTATTATTACAATCTCCTGAAAATTATAAATTTGACATAATTCAAGATCAAAATCGTTTGTAAAATGTCTGAATACAATCTTTAATTTTAAATGAATGAAAGGTTCCATAAAATTTTGTTAAAAAAAAGGTTCTCAAAAATCTCTCAAAATAAATAACTAAAAAAACCACTAATGCTGTTTATAGTGAAAGTAGTGAAAAAGCTTGTAAACTTGACCTATTTCTTTTCTACACATTAAAGCTGTGTTGAATCCATGAATTGTTACTAGAAACAAGATCACATTTATAAACCTAAGTAACTTAAATATGCTATATGGAAAGAGAGAATTAATTCAATTAATTGTTTTCTAGTATTATCAGCATTATTTGGTAATTGTTTTATTAAGAATGCATGTAATGAGTTTGGTTCACTAGTGTTTGAATTTTTCAATTTTTCTTACTAATGTCCTCCATACAAGAGTGCATGTTTTGTTTTTTACAAGAAAAATAAGTTAGGGTTAAACCAACAAACGTTTTTTTAATATTTTATTATGCAAATTTTCTTCTTGTGTACTATTTTTTTTGTTTTCTTTAGCTGACAGCTATTTAAGAATATCAATTGAATTCACTTCTTCCAAAATTTTATTGATTACTGCTCATGTATTTTGGTGTTATTCTCTGATACTTATTTGCAATAGTTTATTAAGCTAGCTGGGACTGAATTTTCTTTTTCAATAAACTGCTGAAATGAGTAGTTGAATTTTGTCTACTTAATGTTTTTATACTATAGATTGTAATACTGAGGATTTTGTTTCATAATATTTGTTATCAATCATCTTGGGTTGCAAAAAGTCTCCTATAATACTGTTTGGTTTTTTCTTTTGATATTTTAAAAACTGTATAGATATTAGTATTTTACTATCATTTTCATCTTTCTTTCAATGACTTGTAATTTCTAGTCCAGATTTATAATGTAATATTTCAAGGGTATGATGGTTATCTACCTGTTAAAATTACAAATGGTTATACTATATATCAAGTAGTAGTAACATTCCACATACATGTATCACGAATTTCTTATGTGTGCCACCATGAAGCAGTAACTAGGAAATTACAGCATCTATCTTGTTTGTGCCACGAGGACGTTAGATTATTTTAATTAGCATCAAATAGAGTAATTAGGAGGGCTCATACAAATACTACAGTACATTTATTAAAAGCTTTAAGAATTTTAGATATGCTAGAGTTGACAAAAGCACTGACTTTGTCTCTATCCCTCACATTGTTCTTGAATCAGATAGGTCATTGTGCTTGGATGACCCAATAGTCTCTTGAGATTTAAAAAAAAAATTTTTGTAGATAAATGATATATCGTGATACTAAATGCACACACACACACACACACACACACACACAAAAAGAGTATGAACTGATGAGCACCAGATTCTGAAGAGTATATTTGACTGAACCAGTTTATATTTTGATTTATTAAAATAAACATTAATTTATTTTTTAAATTGCTGTGTCTAGATGTGATTGTACACATATTAACACATCAAAACTAAAGATAAAAGGCACAGAATAAAGGACATGCTGGTGTAAAAAAAATCCTTCATATGCTATTCCATCATGCCACTTCTGACGAAAGAGCAAAATGTTTTCAACAGATAATGTCAAAATGATGACTGGTTGATAATAAGCATAGACCATTCTATGATATACGAAATACATATTTGTAGTTCTAAAATGGCAATTTTGACAGTTACTGTAAGACAGTGTAATCAAAGTGATGGAACGTTAAATAGTTCAGAGACGCATTGTGTACTGTTGCCTCACTCTCCGAGTCACTGAACTTTTGTGCCATCATGTGCTAAAGAACCTTTTCTTCTTGCATTTGGAAACTGATGGGTTTTTTTTGTGTGCAAGTTTTTGCTACCAAGATTTAGAACCACTGTATTATGTGTTATGTGAGGCACTGGACAATGCCTTAACAAACTATGCTGGATTGATTTTATTGGATCAATTCTGTTGATGATTTGCTCTCCAGGTTAAGTTCATTGGGCTTTTGGCTGTAGAGATCCAAGTCAACTACAGATGATGCTAATATCAAAGATCATATCAGAGAAACAGTTGATTCAGTTGCAGAGCTTGTTCTCTTATCAATGTGTTTGACAAATGATGAAGATGTGTACAGAAGTGCACCGAGAATAGCAGATGTCATGTGGAGGTGGTATAAAACCTGTGGATACGTAGATCAGAGTGTATTTTACAGCATGTTTATATTTGTGTAAGAGTTATTACATTTAGAAATGTGTAAAAGCAATCCTGGACATCCTGTATAATCTAAACCAGCATTTCTCAACCTTTTGCAGACTACTAAAATGCAAATACAGAGAAAAACTATTACTGATTTATGTACGAGTGTCCTGATAGTTTTATTGGTTTTCATGAAATCCCACTAACTGGTTAGGTTGCAACAGACCAGCGTCGACCTGTTGACGGATTTAAATTATTTTCTGTTGACCAGAGATGTAGAAGTTGATGAAATTAACAACCATTTTACCTTTCCACCCTTTACCTCCCTAAAAAACTTAAGAAGACTGAAAATTTGTTGGAAACCTGTTCTAGCTAATTGATGACCAAGCAATGTTAGAATGTCTTGTTGGACCACCAGGACACCAGATAATTGTAACAGAGGGTAATAATGTACATTAAATATTAATAAAAGAAAGAAGTAGGTTTTGAAAATAGGAAATTATAAATGGCGTGTATTCATTTTGACTTCTGTTTTATTGGTTGTTACTGTCCAACTTTTTAAGAGCTAAACCTTGCATGACAATGCTTTACATTAAACTGTAGGCCTAAGCATTATTAGTTGTGCTTGCATTTTGGAATTCTGTTTCATAGATTTTGGGAAGAAAACAAATCAGTTAATTCAACTAAGTTACTGATCAGTAATACAGTACTGATACCAGTTTCTTTTTTATATAATATATCACATTTGCTCTTCGTGGAATTCTTTATTATTTAACATTTTATCTTGGAGGTGGGGAATTGAAATTTAATTCTGATGTCCCTGTTACCAGATTTTAAAAAATTGTGAAGCCCTGAATACGTAAGCACAGTATGGCTGTCAGTGCTGATGAATTTATTTCAGATTACTGGTATTATTATACATTTAAATAAATTAATGTTGCATAACTGGTTTCAACAGAAGATTTTAAGGCTTTATATATAGATGAATATTGCTAACCTTGTGTAGTATTGGTACAATTACTGTCTTAAGGTATTTTGGGATATTGAGGACAAATTTTACCGAATTTGAGGGTTGTGTCAAAAATGCCAAAACTGTATCAAGTCCTTTCATTTTCTGGTCTATTCAAAACTTAAATTTTGCATACATCATGCTTTTTGAGTTTATGGTACACCGCAAGTTATAACTTTGTCTAATAGCTACAAGCAAGCAATAAATCAACACTTCAATTATTAAGATTTGTATGTACACTTTGTGGTAAAAATGTATATCAGCATCAGGTGATAGCTGACATGGGCATACATAAATTACAGATCATGAAAGTTTGAAAGAATCATTAAACTTTAGTAATAGAAATGTTGGCATGATTTTTAGCTTTACATTGTTCAAAATCTAATTCAATATTTTTTTTAGTAACCATTTATAGCAGTGTTTTTTTATACTAGTTACTTGGCTTCTGTGTTATATGAATGTAGGCAGTAAGTTATTACAAGCACTGTAAAGTTTATCCAGACTTTTAGTCAGAAACAAGATAATAACCTTGTCATGGTTACTATCATATTAGGATACAGAGTAGCAACAACATTTTACTGACCAGAAGAAATATAATAGAAATAGATATAGAAAGTTTTAAAGAATCATTAAAGATTAGTACTAGCAATGCTGGCATGATTTTTAGCTTTACGTTATTCAAAATCTCTGTCAAGGTAATGTGTAATTGAAAAATGTAGTATAGAAAACCAGATTTTAGCAGGAAAAAATCTTTGCAAAATAAGCTTAAAATCCATTAAACAGTTTATTTAAGAAATTATAATCTGAATTAATTGTATTATATGCTTAAAGTAAAAAATTGAGATTTTTTCTATTAAATATACAATAGGCCTTGTATATAAAATACTGTTTAATCCTCACAAAGGGAAATACCCTGCTAATAACTAACTACTTGTAAGTAGATTAGTTTGACCATAATCCCATTTATTGCTAACATCAATTGCTATAACTTATAAAAAAAACAAATGACTAGAATTCTGCAATAAAATTTTTTATTGTAGATTTTTTAGGAGCACATGTTTCAGCAGAACTTTGGTCTTGTTTTCATCAGGTACAACTAAAACAGGCTTATTTAGTTTATAAAACATGAGAACATTGCAAAGAGGTTATCATATAAGTACATTTTTGTTGCTATTACAATAAATGTAACAATCAAATCAAAGTAGCTTGCTACAACAATTCTAACCAGAATTTGTTAATGTTAGTATGGCCTCTGTCAGGGTTTGTAGTTAAATAACCTGCCTTTATAATTTCTATAGGTTCGAAATAGTTCTTTTTTTTGGGGGGGGGGGGGTGATTTGAGTTTGAAATTTCTTCCAATTTACGATTTAATACTATGACTTAATTCAAACTGTTGTATTGCTAAGACAGATTTTTCAAACTCTTCCCCTATGCTGTGATCTTATTTTTTGCACCTAATTTGTTAGGGAGCAAGAGGTTTGACCAATGTCTTTTTTTTTTCCACACTCATATACAATATATTCCTTGTTTTTGTTCAATCTGTAATGCTACTTTAAACTTAGGTAATAAACTTATTATGTTGTTTATAGGTTTGAACACAATTATATCAATAACAGGTTTTGACACAGGTTTTGATATAGGAACTTATAAGGGAAAGATGAGCATTTGTAGAGAAAGTTTCTTGGTCATGAATTCTCATATAACCTACAATGTTAGGGTTGTAATAATTTTTTAATCCAGCTCAATTCTAAGATATTTTAAAGTACTTAATTGTATAAGAGTTTTTACAAAGGATAAGTAGGTGAAATTGTTTGTGACATATGAGGTGTGTAATATTTTCCAATTTGTTAAACTTAATTTTCTTTTAGTCTACACAGAAATAAAATTTGACATTTGCATCTAACTATATTTATTTGATATTAACGTTTGAGATGTATATGTCATAGCTTCTGTATTTCACCAAATAAACAAGAAACAAGGCAGTATTTCAAGAAATGATGAACTCACATAATAAGTTAATACAACCAAAGTTATTTACAGCATAATGGTGTTTTACAGCTTATTGCTTTTGTAGAAATATTTGTTAAAAATTTTGTGTGTATGCAGTAAATGTTAACATTTTGGTGCTTATAACAGCAGCAAAAAACACCAGTGTTTTATATGAGATGTATTATGATTTACAGAAAGAAATGTATTATGAAGTATATGATTATCATATCATATATATATAATTAAATATTTTGTATTGTTGTTATTTTTTCACTCAAAAGAAATATATTCCAGTATAAGCCAATTTTTCAATATTTTGTTTCTCAAAGTGCTGCTCTCTTTAGGTCAAATTTCAAATTACAAAAAAGTAATGTTATATAGTTTGTTGCTTTCTTTTTTAACTTATTCAACAAACATCATCTCAAAGTAGTGCTCTGTTTAAGGTCAAATTTACTTTATGCAACAAATATAAATAATCTTCAGAACACAATCATTAAAACAAAATATAAACTTCAGTACATGTAGAAAAAGATTGAAAAACAACTTAACTATTATTGGAATTCCTACATTAATATCAGTAATATTAATATTATTATCTGTATTAGTTTTGGGAAACACTTGTAGGGTGCTCCATAATTATGAACCAAATTTGATAAAGATAAATAACATTTTTAATTACTGCAGATGATTAGATGGAAGTAATGATACATTTCTGCTTCTTTTTACTGTAATACCTTTTGTTGATTCATCAAAATTATCACTTAACTTTTTAAAGATGGTTGTTGATATAACATTTTAATGCAGTCTAATAACATTATCTCATAAACAGTTATTTTCTAAAAGTTTACATAGCATGCTATGTTTATTCAGTGAGATTTATATATAAAAAGCTCCAAGTTGACAGTTGCTATGAAGTCCTAATTAATATTAAAACTGTTGTAAAGACAAGGTTTTTTAATTATGTGAATGGAACATTATAACTATTTGTGATTTTCCCAATATTAAGTTAGAAATATTTATTTTACATATCTGATCAGTTTAATTCATATAGTTTACAGTACCTTAGTTAAATGAGTCTGAAAGAATTTTGAAGAATGTTATATATTTGCTTCAAGTAAATCCATATGAAAACTAAAACTCGAGGTAATTTTTCATTAACACAAAAGCTTTTGGTTACTTTTTAGGTTGGAAACATTTTCAAAATCATGTTTGCATAATTTTTTTAGATTTTATAAGTGTTGTGCAATTGTTTCAAGATCTTTTTTTTTGTTTTTACTGTTTGATTAATAAGTGATTATTCTGTATTTTTTTAGTAAATCAGCATTTGTGTCATTGTTAGAGTTTATAAGTTTTTGAATGAAATGTATGAATTATACTTGTTTCCACCACTTTTGTTGTTTTTTTATCTTTATTCAGCACATACCATTGATCTCATTTTGGTTATTTATATAATATTATACTTTTGTAGGGCTGTTTTGAAGTAAATTAAGTTAGTGAAAATATTTATATATGTGATACCATATTATATTTAGATACGTATACACGCATTTATAAAAACATTGGAATGTGCTACATTTACATTATTATAATTTTAATACCAAGTGAACATGAAAAGTAAGGCCTTTAAATCCTGTTTGAAGTTTTGGAAGAAACGAAATTAAAAGTTCTCTGTACATAAGTCATGATGGTGGCAACAATAAAAGCAAGTGGTACTTTCTACTTTACCAATCCTTTGTTGCCCCTTAGACATGTAGCAGTAATGATAAACTGAAACGTAGCAGTTCCTTAGAGAAGTTGCGGGCTTCCATTCGACGTAATAGTGCCAAGATTGTAAAGAAACTGACAGGTCGTGTTGACCCAGAGAGGGAATGTGATGGTAGCACAGAAGATGCGATGGTCAGGTAAGAAAGAGTTAAACATTTGGTGAGGATTCTATATATTTCTTGTTCCATGTTACAATATTAAGTTTAGCTAGATTTCAAGTTGATCATGTATTTTAATACCACGTCTCCTATATTAATCTTTATTCACTAAAATAAATAAAAAATACATATAGTGATAGTTTAAAGGATTTCCAAATGAATGCAAACAAAAAACAGTGTAACCAAACTGAATAAGAAAGAGATTATACTGAACTTATTTAGCAGTTTGTCATTACAATTTAATTTTTTTTATTTTACCAGATTTTCTTTAATTTCACGTTTTGATTATTTTAATACTTTGTTGTATTTCAATATACTTCTATGAGTAGGCAACAAGGGAAGGGCTAATTTTGAAATAGCACCAAAAAATTTGATTGACATTTAGTTTTTGACACTTTCCAATGTCAGCTTCAATTTTTCAAACATTTCTTTTCTTTGAAAAAAAAAGACTGTAAAATGAAATGTAGTTATTTGTGATTGAGACATATCCAGTATAAAATACTATTAAACAGTGAGAAAAACAAGCATTTTATGATTCAGACATATCCAGTATAAAATACTATTAAACAGTGAAAAAACAAGCATTTTATGATTCAGACATATCCAGTATAAAATACTATTAAACAGTGAAAAGACAAGCATTTTATGATTCAGACATATCCAGTATAAAATACTATTAAACAGTGAGAAAAACAAGCATTTTATGATTGAGACATATCTATTATAAAATGCTATTAAACAGTGAAAAAACAAGCATTTTATGATTCAGACATATCCAGTATAAAATACTATTAAACAGTGAAAAAACAAGTATTTTGTCTTCATATTTAAAAAAGAAAAATTTCAATATTCCAGGAAAATATCAAGAATTCATTTTCATTCAAATGTCGGGTCAAAAACCTCCTTGGTCAGTGTGTTGGACTGTAGATCTAAGATTCCATAGTTTTTATGCTGTTACTGGAAACAAACAGTGCGTGTGTGTATGTATATGTATATTCAAAAAATTAGATTGATAAAATAAAATACTTCATCTGAATCTAAACAGTTAATATAAGGGCTCTGGGTGCTTTATTAAAGTCAGTCAACTCCCACTATTCAGTCTGACAAATGTAGTCAAAGAGTTTGTAGTGGGTACTGCTGAAGAGCTGCAATCCTTCTAGTGTATCAGTTCAAAATTAGTGATGGTTATATAGCTTTGTACAAATATCCAAAGAACAAACAAACTTAACCCCTTTTCCATTCTTGGTGCTGTTTTAAAATATGATTTTTCCATTACTGGAAAAAGTTTTTTATGTAGATTTATATCTTAATCTCTAACAATGATTAATTAGTTTTTGATGTGAATTATTTTGTAATAAGACCATGTGGTTTCTTCTTTAGCCATACACACTGTGACATAATACAACATTGTAACAAAGTAGAAAAGCAAGATCTTATATACTCGTGTTTACAGGGGTGTAAAAAGTACTAAAATATGTTACTGAAGTTCAAGTAAAAGTACTTTGTCAAAACGTTATTCAAGTAGAAGTAAAAGTATCCATCTTGAAATTTATTTAAGTTAGAGTAAAAAAGTATCTACTGAATAAGTACTCAAGTAACAAAAGTAAAAAGTACACTCATTTGTAGTTCTCTCAAACCCTACATGTATGTTGTGGGTTATGAGGTCTGGAATCAAAACACATCATACATTATAGTGACACAGAATTATTCAAAATGTATTTAAACTTGAACAGTTTATGAAGATATGGCCAAGGATTGCCATTATCTTCAAGAGAAATGATGTTGGAGTCAGACATCCTGTACATACAGACTACAGTGGGAAAAGAGTGATGCTTGCAACTTGCCCAGTCGCTAGGGGAATAGTAAACCCGCTGATGTAAGCAATGCATGCAATTGGCTGATTTAAGTTCTCTTGCACGCCCTGTTTTTTAATTGTCTGCCACAAATTTGAGTTTTGAGAATATTAACGAAATGTATAAAATGAAAGGTAGTGGAGTAAAAGTTCGAGTAAATCTCCTAAAACATACTTAAGTTAGAGTAAAAATATTTTAAAATATAAATACTTTCTAAAAAGAAGATACTGAAAAAAGTTACTCAAGTGAGGTTACTTTCTTGCCTTTACACACCTGCTTCTGAACACGGGTAAAAAATTTAGAAATTTTTTGTAGTCTCAAAATAATTTTAAGTAAGAATAGAATGTTATAAGGTTTTATGTGTTTGTTGTTTTGCTATACTTGCAAGTGTTAGACTAGATTTGGAGATTGCTATTTCTCCTCGGTAACCCCTGTTTAAAAAATTTGCAAAATATTTTTAATTGAGTCCATATAAAGTACCACACTTTTGCTTTATATTACTGAAAGTATTGGTTTTGTCACTGAAGTATCACAAATACTTTTCAAGGTTGACATTAGTATTTAGTGATGTATGCCAGGAACATCTCATAAATTTCTGTAGTATTGAGTTATTACTGAAACTTCTTAAGCTGAAAAAGTATTTTGGGGATTTACAATGAAAATAAAATCTTTGTTTTTATAAACTTAAAATTGAAAATAAGGTTATCCATAAGATATCTGATGAACTTGAATGCTCAACAAGTTAAGATTGAAAAAATCATAAACTCTTATTGGGAGAAAAGGTGCTCAACAAACTTTGTTTTTATAAATCTTAAACTCTTATTAGTAGAGAAGGTGTTCAACAAACTTCATGTTTATAAATCCTAAACTCTTATTGGTAGAGAAGGTGTTCAACAAACTTCATGTTTATAAATCCTAAACTCTTATTGGTAGAGAAGGTGCTCAACAAACTTCCTTTTTATAAATCCTAAACTCGTATTGGTAGAGAAGGTGCTCAACAAAATTGGTTTATATAAATCCTAAACTCTTATTTGTAGAGAAGGTACTCAACAAACTTAGTTTATAAAAATCCTTAACTGTTATTGGTAGAGAAGGGTATAGAAGTTATCACCCTTTTAATTTAGAATGTTGGAAGATATATTGTTTTTTTCATAGTGTTTTTTAATAGACTGCTTGATTTGTCATGTCATATTTTTGTACTAACGTGATTGATAGAATATAACGTTTTTCCATCTAGCTACCTAACTGTAATTAATATTGCTGTGATTGAAGTGATATTATAGTTGATAAACTTCACCAATTTTCATAGTGGTTAGTTAGTTAAATGTCTATGGCAGAAATTGAGAGATATTGTGCCTGGCAAAAAAAATAATTTTTGATCATGAGTAAGGATATAAGTTAACAGATAACAAGATTCAGTTTCTAACTCCTGTATACATTTTCAACGACCACAAGTTTAATACTTGGATGGCAAAAATTAGTATATTTAATAGAAACTCAAGGTGTCATCAAATTAACTAAAATTTAGGGTTCTAGTAAATAGGAAAGGGGGGAGCCAAACAGAGTTCATCATTGTTTTTTGTATTATTTTTAGGCAGGGTATGCACTTCTTTGAAAATTACTGAACAGAATAAATGAGGAATCAATAAATTATAAATCTCAAACTTAATTTTCTTCATGTGATAAAAATTGTAACCAAGCTGTGAGTATGGAACCACTCCACACACACAGTACCTGACACACTACTACTACTATGGAACCACTCCACAACAGTACCTGACACACTACTACTACTATGGAACCACTCCACAACAGTACCTGACACACTACTACTACTACTATGGAACCACTCCACAATAGTATCTGACACACTACTACTACTACTACTATGGAACCACTCCACAACAGTACCTGACACACTACTACTTCTGTGGAACCACTCCACAACAGTACCTGACACACTACTACTTCTGTGGAACCACTCCACAACAGTACCTGACACACTACTACTTCTGTGGAACCACTCCACAACAGTAC